TGAAAGAGAAAAAGTAACAGAGATGATGTATAGAAAAGCAACTAGTATTGAGTCATTTTACTGTGTTGACGGACATGCTTTGAAAATTTAGTGTTGAGAAAAAGCTTGTCCTTCTGATGTACCACTTACTTTCCAAGTAGAATTTGCCAAGCTTACAAATTCCGCGCAGGTACAATAAATAAACAGTGGAGAAGCGATAGCGCAGACCAACTCCAAGATATTCTTGTGAGGAAAACTCCCAATTGTGAATCACATGAGAATTTTAACCGATGTAAGCATCCTCATTCATACTCAGCTTAAATAAGTGTAACAGATTTAGAATCTTTCATGACCTCAAGTATTCAAACCATTGCAAAATCTAGTAATGCCAACGAAAAACATCAAGACGGTACAAATTTGAAAACCTAAGCTTCATCCAAAAAGAAGAATTGACCACTCTTCTTTTGCTCGATATCTTTCATCGAATCCTTTTTGTTAATTCGAGGTCGATACGACTCACTATCACGACGGAATGTGATCTCAAGCATCTTTAAGAACCGGTTCATGCCTTCTTGTAAGCTTTGTGGTCTAAAGCAAAGATATTCAAGTCCAAAGTGAATAGAAATATTCTCAACGAATAACTTACTTTCTAGCAGTGGCATGTACAGATGGCTCTCCATCAAAAACAATTACTCGGTCAGCAAGATAGGTAGCCATTATAAAATCGTGCTCCACAACAAATGCAGTTTTCTTAGCGTGCATAATGAATCTAAATTATGATCATGACATTATGACAACAAGAAAATGGAGAATAAGTGCTAGATGAATAATAGCCTGCATTTCAAAAGCATTGAGAAAGAAGCTTGACAAGAAAAATAAAATTGAGTTTCAACTAGATGGAGCAGATCTAGATAGGTATCCCATGTGTAGATAATAATCTAGGATGCAACCACTTAATTGTTATGCAAGACAACGTAGTATACTATCGTGAAATTTGAAGCATGCTTTATGTATATCTAGTAAAAATACCCTCCCCTGCATACAGGGTATTTTTCGGTAGAAAAAGAAACAAGAAAAATGAGATTTGTGGAAAATGGTGATAGTTGAGTCAGATGAAGGATTGAGAATAGAAAGGCGCACTTTTTTCCATCATCACAAGCAAAAGAACATAAGCTGACAAAACAGAAAATCGTCAGGCTGACCTCTTAATAACCTTGGCA